ATATTTTTATAATTTTTTGATATTTAATTATATTTTTTTTACAGGCTCTTTTCATAATAGTAACTGACATATTGAGCTGAAATTACTCAAGATTGTTCAAAATCATTCACATTTTGACAAGTTATCATTATTTGTCAATGAAAATCAACACCTTTTAGAATGTTTACCTTATATTGCTCTTAAGAAAACAGTCGGTAGCCTTACAGCTAATGAAGATTTTGATTTGATGAAATATTCAGAATTTTTAACAATGTCAAAAAATGTAAAGGAGAAAGCAGGAACAGGATCGGAGCCTTTTTCAGGTGCACTTCTTAAACTAATGAAGAGTGTGAAATTGTCATCAGAAATATTAACATTATTGGTAGAATATTACAATAATGCTTATAGTAATTCTTTTGTGTTCTTATCAGATATCCATAATTTGTTACCAGGAACAATAGCAGTTTTCTCACAAATTAATCAATTTGGTAGATTAAGACTTAGAGCGGAAGTATATAGATTAACGTACGCAAAAAGACATATCAGATCAGTGAATGTATTATCTAAATTTGTTTTAGATGATAATATGACTAATACCTATCCGGGTCAAATACAATTTTTTTTTTGAGCATACTATTCATCTACCGGAAGGTTCCATAACACATAGTTTAGCTTTTGTAAGGTGGTATTCGCATGCTGACCATTCTAGGATAAGGTTTCACTGTAGTATAAATGATGATAATAAATCTAGCAATATTGAATTATGGAAATCTGAATTTTATGAAATAAGAAGAGATTGTATCATTCTTATACACAATATTTTGAGCCATTTTATTACTGGAACAATAATTATCAGTAAAAAGAATCCAAAAAAATATTTATCTGTAATTCCTATAAATAGAAAAATTCATATATAAAATTTGAAACTTAATAAACATTTTCATATAAATGCATTCATGCAGATATCAGATTATCTTATATTTTATTAATACTTTATTAATCGGCTATTTATAATATTATATTATAATCAATAAATGATCAATGAATTATCGGGATGATTGATAGGTTAAATAATTTTTATTAACACACTTTAAAAGAAACCAATGAATTATCAGGTATTGATATGTGTATTATTTTTTAAAAGTCATCTTTCAATATCATATCGGGTTTCTAATAATTCATGATATGCTATACTCTGATACCTCATTATTTAACCAGTGTCTATAAATATTGATAATCTTCTTTATTTGTATTATATAATATACAGCACTAATTTTTAAAAATATTTAGACATCTAGCTTTTAATTTAGTAATAATGAAGAGTTCATCCTATCTAAAGTATCAATAAGTAAGTCTTTAGCGAGTTTGAGTTATCAATACATCTATTCAAAAAAATAAAAGTACATTTCCTTTTAAAAATAAAGTCTATCATTTTTGAAGGGTTGTTAATGAAGTCATCGATTCTTTAATCCAGAGCTTATTAAATACTCTTAATTTTGGATTTTTTATTCTTAAATTTTAGCTTTGATCTGAAGTTCTAAAACTAAAAAATTAACATCTAAAAGAATTGAGCTTAATAGGGCAACAAGTGGATAATTCATTAATTTAATAACACAAAGGTTAAAGATTGTGTAATGTCAATAAACTTATTATATAATGTGAGTTATTTGAGATTAAGCTAATTCTCTCGTAAATTAAATTTCAAAATGCATAATATTAAGTACAAGGATTTGATATCTTATAGATATTGAAAAGATTTAGCAGCTGTTTTAAATTATAACTGATACGTAATTTTTAATAGGAATGTATTTCTTAGCAATAAAGATTATTGAGTTCTGAAATAGGTCTCTGTAGAAATTCAAAGAATTTTTGATCAAATTGTATCATGAGAAAGTCATTTCAAGTGTGAGCTATTGACAGCTTTGTCTAATTTGTTGTTGAATGTGATCCATATTTTATCATTCATCAGATTATAGTTAAAAGAGATTTTTGTTGGACAATTGTGATCTGAAGAAGAGAATTTAAGAAATTAGTATAATTAACTGATACAACATGATGATCAGATAAAAGAGAGTCAATGTCAACAGTTTGGCAATTAAACATGTTAAGGAAAGATTCAAAGGTCATAAAAATATAATCAATTCTTGATTGTCTATTTTCTTTAACAAAAGATGAAAAGGACTTATCATTGTCTTTATATTTAATGTAAAAGATATCCTAAAGATTGAAGTGAGAAAGTGATTTAATGAATGATAAATTCATAGGTAAGTTAGTTAAACAACTAGTATTGACATTCAGATCACCTAAAAAATTATATAATATTGATCTTTAATAGTATAATTAATAGTCTTTTTGATATAAGCAAAGAGGATTTAGAATTGTTATTTGTAGTATCTCTTTTTAGAGATAAGTAATTAAGAGTTTTTATTTGTTAGTAAACTGTAATTTGCATAGATAACTCTATCAAAAGCAAAGTTATGATAAAAAATATATTTTGCAAAATTATTATTAAATGATAGATAAATACAAAACTAAGTTTTTAATTATCTTGATTAGAGCTAAAAAATGACGTATAATGTGAAAAAGACCAGTTGAAAAAGGAGCTATTAATATTCTTAAAGTTAGTTTCTTGTAAACTGATGATATCATAATAATAGGTAAGCAAAAAAAATAAAGGTAAATTTATTTAACAGAATTAATTAGAGACCTAACATTATGTATTACAATATTTAAGTTGGATATATTAGAAATAGGAGAAGGGTATTGGTAAGATTATCATCTATAAAGACAGTATTCATAAAAAAAAATAATTAGCTATTAAGGCAGCTTTCAATTTATTTTTCTAAGATATCATTGATTAGGAAGAAGGATCAAATATTATGAGAACTTAAAAGATCTTTGTTGATCAACACTTGTTGGAAATTAGCACAGATACTGGATAAATTATTAATAATAGTAGTAAAAGATAAGATACATTGTTGTTGTTGATGGCAAATTATAATTAACTGCTTATTTGTTTTCTTTTGTAAAGGAACAGAACTTTGAGAGATGTTAATATATAGGTAGCATTTTTCTGCAATTGAAGATTCAGTGAAAGAGCTTGGTTGTAGGCTTTAGCTTCTATAGAGATGACAACTTTGATATCTAGAGCCTTTTCTATAACATTGAGCCTTTTTTGGAAGAATAAGATAATTGTTATGAGTGTAGAAAGTTGTTAAGTAATAACTTCAAGTTGAGTAGTGACAAATATTTAAAATCTGGATCATACATTGACCTACTTTGAACAGTTCTTTTTGATAGATTGTTGGTAGGTTTAATAAAACCTGTTGCGTTTTTATTAATATATTATTAACACTAAACATTTCCATATCTATATCATCAGAAATATCATCTACCCAATGTACAAAGGGTGGACAAAAGTATTTACACACTTTTTCACTCAATATAAAACTTCAAATATTTTTGCATTAATAATGAAAGGTCAATTAATATTTTATTTAAAGCTGATTAAAATCTAAATTTTATACTAAGTAACTAGTACTTAATTAGATCACCATTTGCCACAATCATTTGTTGTAGCATACTATCAACTAGGTTTTCGATAGTATGCTTTGAAATTTTTTTTCATGCTTTTTTAACATATCAGTCAAGAACAACAAGATTAAATGGAGGTTTTTTTATAAGCTCAGATGGTTTTTTTGATTTCAGTCTAAAGATCCTCAATTGGATTAAGTCAGAACTTTAAGCTAGCAAAAATAATGTATAAAGATTGTTTTCTGCTTGAAAAAACATTGCAACCTTTGATTTATAAGGCTGAATATTAACTTCTTGAAACTTACTATCATAATTTGAAAATTATTTTCTCATGATCAGAATAACATATTTATGAAGAATGATGACATATAAATTACTAGTTACTATTTCAAATAATGGAATAATTAGTCCCATACATTTTTTTGAAAAGCAGCCTTAGTATATTCAACTAGGGTTATGTTTTACTGTAACTGTAACACAGGATAAAGTTCATTCATCCTTCAGTTTATGCCAAACTTTACTAGAGCAGCTTTGTTGAAATTAAGAGAATATGGATTTATCACTTCATAAGACTTTTGATCAATCTGCTTTAATCTAGTTTTAATATTTCAAATACCATTTAAGATATGTCTTAATATTTGCTGGTGAAAATAATGGTTTTTTCTTATAACACAATTTTTTAATCCAGCTGAATGGAAGATTCGTCTAACCATCTTAGTTGAAATATCTTGCCTAGTCTTCTTCTTCCAAGGCTGTTGTATTCTAGCTATACATAGATGATAATTTTTAGTTTTATTATTCGTCATGATTTGTTTAAGGTGATTTCATTGTGAAATTAGAATTAAAGGTGGATGTCTAGAATGATACATCAATTCGATTGATCTGGTATTATAGTATCAAATAATAGTATCATAAACAGTTGACACTCTGCAGTCAACAGTATTAGCAATGGTCTGATATCTATCATCACATTAATAGCAATAAATTATGACTTCATGTTGTTCTGCAAATAATTCTTTAATTTTTAACATTTTTTTATTTAGAGTTTTGAAAGAAAATTTATTTAAAAAAAAATTAAATTGTTATTTTTTATGTTTATAATATAAATAAATACTAACATGTCATATGATCACAATTTGTTATTGTGATCATATAACTTTTTTAGCATTAATTCACATTTATAAAGGGTATGCGAATACTTTTGTCTACCCTTTATATGTTAGATTTAGGAGGAAATGGTTTATGAGATGCAATATTGTGATTAATTGAAGATTTGACTGGAGGCTTAGAATTGGAAAGAAGTAAATGTTATTGAAATCCATTTGGATTTAATTTTATTGCATTAACAAAGGTGATATTATCTCTTACTGTATCTTATTGTAGTTATTTTTTAGAAGCAGTGTAATTGTTAAACTGAATTAGTTAAAACTACTAGTATAGATATTAAGTATTATAATTCTTGAGGCTATATCTTTTCTTTAGGCAGGAGGATGCATTATGATGAAATAAGAAATAGATAGCGCATAACTTTTCTTTGAATCAGTTCATTCAAGATGCTTTCTGTTTAAAGAAAGATCATTAACTGCTTTAACAGCTTCACAGAAGTACAGTCAACTTTTTTTACAATGAATTTTGATATAACGAATTTTACAATACAACAGATTTTTAGTGTCAAACAGATTTTTAAATATAAAAAAACCCTTACTATACTGAATTTAGTAATTAAAAATTCGTACTATATTTAACGAATTAAAGTCAAAAAAATTTATATATAAAATGACT